CTAAAATCCATAACTTTCGCATACGAGCTCCGTTTTTTTACGTTCTTTATATGCACGCGTAGCTAAAATTACGCTCTACAACTTTTGTTTAGACTTCGTCGTCTAATTTTGAATTTATTTTTAACAGACCGGGATAGGAAAATCCGTTAAAAATCCATAACTTCTTCATCCGACATCCATTTTCATCAGACTTTTTACCGTTGTACTACAAATGACGAGACCTTCGATTCTCGTTTAGGATGTATCGGTCAAATATCGCTCAATCTAAAATTCGAGTTTTTAGCTGTCTACTGCTAAGTTGAAACTTCGAAAGATCATAACTTCCTCATACGAAGTCAGATTTTGGCGTTCTTTTTATCGAATTTCTCGGTTTAACGAATACTACAACTTTCATTTAGATCACTAAGGCTAAAAAGTAGTTTATCAAAAACTCACTTTTTACATCATTCGGTGTCGTGCCGGTTTTGTCGCGGATCTTCGGTTGGTCATAACTTCTTCGTTATAACTCGGATTTTGACGAGGTTTTCGTCTACAAGTTTCTAACGAGATGATTTACAACATCAAATAATAAAATTTTACTTATTTCAAATTTTATATTTTCGCTAAATTTTCATTATTTGGCTATTAATTGGAATCTCATAAGACTTCCAATATTTTATGAGTGATTCTAAACATAGTTTTACTTCATTTCTAGTAAAAACTAGCTGTTAGAACTCAACACTTAATTTTTTCAATTTTAATAATAACAATACATAATTTCATGATGTGTATGTTACACTACTTTTAGAGTTATGATAGATTGCTTAAGAATATGCAATAACATAGTTTCATTTGAATTGCATTGTAAGGAAAAGTACAACCTAAATCGAAGATCCAATCACCTTTACTGTTCCTTTTACCTGCCATGTTCGCATTGTGTACCACCCCTTCATTATTGTTGGTGGTAGTGAAGTTTCACAAACATCTGGTATTGTTCTTGGGTAATCTTTGGTATCAGACTACCCTAAGATTTCGTGCAAGCGGTTGTCGTCTTGTCCTTCTCCCTTTTCTTCTGGGTCACAAATCTGGGTATCTTATGAGTTTAAAATAGCCCCCTCGCTTATGCCTTCCTCCTACAAAATGTGCACTGCTCGCTTTCTTTATTTTCTTTGATCAATCTCTGAAAGTTCTTTTCCTTTGAAGGGTATGAAACTTCTGTTTCTTCCTTGAAAAGTATTGAATGCTGCAGGATCGTAAGGTATTCTTTTAATAATTAGAAATTGATCTTTGCCTCTCGTCTTCAGCGACTAAGTGGTACACCATTCCCAAAGGAGGAGTCGATTTTGTTGCCAGGATTTAAGTCTTGATCACTTTGAATTCTGCATCAAATTAATGAGGAATTGATATAGGCACTCCTTTTCCTGGTACTCACTAATTCTCTTCCAATCTCACACGAACAATTGTTGCATGAACACTTAGGAAAGGGCAAGACGGATGAAGTTTCATCCCATAGTGTATGAAGATTGGTGTGGTACATAGACACGGAAGTGCCATCTTGTCGTGCGACGACTATTTTTTGCTTCAACTCGTATGCCGCAGTGTTTGCATAATTTACGTTGTCACAAATGTTCTTCTCTATTGCGGCAGTAAGCCATCCCTTCACCATTGCGCCCCATGTCATCCATGAAATGTATTATAAGACCCATTTTCTGGTTTCTTGATTGTTCCATTAACGAACCCGAATTTGTTTTTGGCGAAGAGGAAAATTTCCATCTATTGAGACCAATCGGTATAGTTAACGTCTGTAAGAACGTCGTTGACATGAAGCTGCTTGGGAACGTCATATGGATAAAGATAATATGGTGAGTCATGACTGATCCCACCGGAACCTTCTCAGATCTTGGTTTTATCCTTTGGTTCGGGACCTGTCATCCTTCATATTTCATGGAAGCGCAAGTTTGATTATGGTTATGAAACCTGCTCTGATACCATCTAGAATAGGGGTGAGATTTAGAACCGGAAAACCGGACCGGAACCGGAATCAGACCGGAACCGGAATCGTTAGAACCAAAATATATAGAACCGGTTCCGGTTCCAGGTTTAAAAATTGGCTTTATCTGGGTTCCAAGTAATCCGGGTTTGGGTCCATCGGGTCCAGGTGTAAAAACCAGAACCAATGTTAGGAACCGGAAAGACTTTTAGTGTCGGAACCGGTTTTTGTGAAACGTTTAAAAGATGAATGTCTCATTCGTTTCAACTCCGATTGAAATGTGGTTTTTTCCAACGTGTAGTTTAGAGTTTGTACATGATTTTAGACTATAAATTTGCCATTTTTAGTTTTATATTCATTGACTTATAGTTCCCTAAAGTTGAGATATCAAAGTTGAAAGTTTTTAGTTTTTCAGTTTTTTTTGTATTCTGTGAAAGTCTTAAAACATGCATACCTAATTCGTTTGAAGTCGGATTGACATGTGGTTTTTTCCAGCTTGTATTTTCGAGTTTGTACACGAATTTAGACTATAATTTTTTTTATTTTTAGTTTAATATTCAATGATTTACAGTCCCCCAAAGTTAGGGTATCAAAACTAAAAAAATTCAACTTTTCAGCTATTTGTTTTTGTACTTTGTATTATGTGAAAATGTTAACACATACATATCCCATTCGTTTAAAGTCAGATTGACATCCAGTTTTTTCCAGAGTGTAGTTTAGAGTTTGTTTATGATTTTAGACTATAATTTTGTTAATTTTGGTTTCATATTCAATGAGTTACAGTCTCCTGAAGTGGGGATACCAAAAAATTCCAATTTTTCCAGGTTTTTCGATTCTAAACTCACTTTATCCGGTTCCAATCTACCCACTTTGATGTTTTCGAGTTTTCTGGTTCTAGACCCATTTTACCCGGTACCATACCCGGAACCGGTTCCTATATACCGGTCCGGTTTCCGATTCTACAAAATCACAGTAACCGGTTCCGGGTTTTTCGGGTCCGAGTCCCTCTGGTCCGGGTTTGGACCCATTTTCATCCTTAATCTAGAATTTGATGGTACCGATTGAAAATATTTCTTCATGTTCATTGAAAACCCAAAAGGCTAATGAATATTTACATGAGTCGTTAACAAACTTATCTAAACATGCATGAGAAGCACAAAGATATAACTAGGATAAACCCAATCAAACAGCTCTCGTTTCAATTTAAAAAGGTGCCAGTCTCCTCCTTATCATTAAAAAAAGTCTCTTCCTAATCACTAAAGAAGGGTCTGAGGTGATATGGTTAATCCATTCTATGTCAAAAGAGTTTTGATATTGAAAGAGAATTTGGTCAATTTGTTTTTCTTTTATAAATTATAATAATTTAAAAATATAACAATTGATTAAAAAACATTAGTTTTGACCATTTTAAAAGTTAAAAAAATATATATAAATACAATATTTAGATTGCAAGTTAAACAAATATGATATTTTAAACTTTAATAAAATTATATAAGAAATTATCGTTTTATTTTAAACCTAGATAACGTAAACACTTTCAAATAAATAACATAAATACTATGGAGTAAACTTTTTAGGTAGCGTTTGGTTTGCATAATGTTTTTGAAAGAATAAGAATCTGTTAAGGAATTGGAATCTACCAAGAATTATAATCTAATTCCATATTCTGTTTGGTCGGCAAGAATGAAATTTGAATCCAATTCAATATTATGTTTGTTTGGCAGAGAACTGAAATAATATGAAATGAAAAAATTATTTATTTATTTATTTTTTTTTAATTTTTTTTATAACTTATATGTAAAAAATATATTATATAAATTATAAAATTAGTAAATGATGATGATGGTGCCAGTGATGTTGATGGTGGCAATAGTGGTGATGATGACAACAAAGATGATGGTGGGTAGTGGCGGAGGTGATGATGGTGGTGGCGATAGTAATTGTAATGGTGATGGTGATGGGGGAAGTCATGAGTAGTGGTGTAGGTGGCAATGGTGGTAGTAACGATGGTGGTGGTAATGAAGGTGGTGATAGAGGTGATGGCGACGGTGGTGGCAATAATGGTATGGTTGTGGTTGCAAATGGTGGTGGAGGTGGAAGGTAGTATGGTGGTATAGGTGGTGACGGTAGGTGGTTGTGGTGGTGGTGGAGGTGGTGATAGCGATGCTGGATAGTGGTGGCAGTGGTCGACGGTGGTGGAGGTGACGGTGCTTGTGGGTGGAGGGTGGTGGTAGCGGAGTTACCAGTGGTGGTGATAGTGGGTGGCGGTGGAGGTGATGATGGGTTGCAGTGGAGGTGGTGTGTAGCGGTGGTGATGAGTGGTGGTGGTGGTGGTAGTGTCGACGACGACAGAAGGGTTTCAGATGTATCGTTAAAAAAATGAGTAATATATTAACATTCAATATTCTCACTTGAAAGAAATTTTAATTCCTTAAGTTTTTTGATGAAATTTATTTTCCCTTCGTTACAATTTTTTTTTTTTTTTTGACTCATTTATGGATCCAACTCCTTTCGAAACCATGAACTAAACAAAGAAAAGTGATTGAAATTAACGGACTCTAGCGAACCAAAGAAAGAATATTAAATTTATATAGATGTTTTTGAAAAAAATTTGACGATCAGTAATTCAGTATTACTCCAAAGAAAAAATAAAAGTCGTTAGACAATCACTTCGTACCATTTTCAGTTTTGAGTTGACTTCAACTTCACTTTTCCTTCTTCTTCCGCCTACCTCTCTTCTTCCAGATCAACCCACAGATCTCGTACAATCAGAAGTAAAAAGAACTCAAAGATCCAGTATTCCAGTCAATCATTAAACTCGATCTTCCAACAGATACTTCGCAGTGGTTCCAGGTTAGCTTTCAAGTGTCTGAATCGATTTACACCATACCCACTGAACTCTACTCTTTACATAGCTTGAGTTAATTTTGCGATGTCTTCAATCCCCAGTCCTATGTCCTGTTCTTGATTAAGAATCTGTAAACGGGTATCAAAAAATATTGAAAAACGCTGACTTTTTCAAATTCCTTCCATGAAGAGTGTTTTCATGTTAGGGTTTTTCTTGATTCTCTGCATTAGGTTAGTGAACGCAGCGATTGGTATTGATCCTAATGGGTTTGGGGATCTAAGATCTACAAAAGAACCCCCTATGACCTTCAAATACGATCGAATAGACGAGGTAAAAAAAGAATGTTCTTCGATCATGCCTCCAGATTCTAACCAAAAACCCAACGGAAAAAGATTGTACAGATTTAAAGACAAAATGTCGTTCATCAATGGAGATTGGTGGCAGGAGTTAGATAAAGCTCCATTGATGCCATTTGATGATCATCACAAACTAAATGGGACAGATGGCTCATTGGATCCAAATTCATCATTGAACTTGGTTTCCTTCTGGGTTACTGATGTAGACCGAGCCCATCGATCCAAAAACTCAGTCAACATCAACGGGATCTTACAGGTTGCAATAACAATTGGGGGATTGTACGGAGCAAAACCCTACAGTAGCAACCCAGTGTTTAACATATACCCTGGGCATTCGGAATTAACGATTCCATTCCAAGGGATTGTCTCCAATTCCGAAGGAAACGATGGTGAAACTGTAATGTGTTTACTAGGGAACGCGATGTTGCCCTATCGTTACCCCGATTCCAGTAACCCATGGGACTGGGTTAAAGAACCGGGGTACATAAACCAGCCACCACTCATTCAAGATGACCGGATTTTACTGGTTATTCGTTACCCCAAAGCTTTTACATTAACAAAAAGAACTATTCATGGTAGTTTGAAAAGTTTAAACGCAAAATCAAGCCAAAAATACTTTGATGAAGTAAAAATCTCATCTTCTTTAAGTGCTTCTGCAAATTACGAGTTTAGCTCCGAAAATCTCGTTTCAAAAGCTTGCACTCCATACCCTTACAAAGATAATTTTACAAATACCGGGCTTGGTTTGTACAAAGGAGCTGATTTTTGCCTTATTCTTGAACGCTTCACGGGTCAAGATCCATTAACCGTTGTCCCGAATTGGAAATGCAACCAAACGAATGAAATTTGCAGCAAATTGGGCCCGTTTGAGTCGGATTCCCGTATAAAAGCAACAAACGGTAGCTTTAAAGGTGTAAGACTTAGTCTTCAAGACGTTCGATGTGAAGAAACGCCTTCAAAGGGTCAAAAGAGTAAATTTACCAAGGTTGCAGCTGTTATTCGGGTTGTTTCTCCTTTTGAGGATCATTACAATGCGGGTCAGCGAACCGGGTTGAATAATATGACTCTTTCGGCTGAAGGGATTTGGGAATCATCAAGCGGACAGCTTTGTATGGTCGGTTGCCTTGGAATTGTTGATAAAGGTGGAATCGGAATCGGGTGCGATTCCCGTATCTGTTTATACATTCCACTCTCGTTTTCCATTAAACAAAGAAGCATCATTCTTGGGACAATTTCGAGTTTAAAAGAGGGGAATTCATCGTTTTTTCCGTTAACGTTTGAGAAACTCGTACGTCCTTCTGAATTATACGACCAGTATACGGAATCTCATCCGTATTATACGTATTCCAAGATCGATTTAGCAGGAACAATTCTCGAAAAACATGAGCCTTTCAGCTTCCAAACCGTGATTAAAAAGTCATTTCTAACATTCCCGAAAGTCGAAGATGCCGATTCCTATCTCGTTGGTTTGTCACTTTTATCCGAAGATCTTACACTTCACCACCCTGCAGTCCCCGATTCCGGGCCTAATCGTTTCTCAAGAACCGATGTGCAATTTGAGATTCTCTCACTTGGCCCGTTATTCGGTCATTACTGGTCTCTACAAAACGATTCAACTACAGAAGAAGACACACCGTATCACGCTAAACCGACATACACCGAACGACAGCTCCTATTGAATGTATCGGGTCAACTTTCGCTCTTCGGAGGGCAATATGGGAATGTTTCGGATCTTTTGGTCGAAGGGTTGTATTATCCAGTTGTGGGGAAAATGTATTTAGTTGGGTGTCGAGACGTACGGGCCTCATGGAATGTTTTATACGAGAGTATGGATCTTGAAAACGGGTTGGATTGTTTGATTGAAGTTGTGATATCATACCCGCCTACTGCGACCCGTTGGATGGTTAATCCAACGGCTAGGATTTCAATCTCGAGTCAACGAAACGAGTTTGACCCGTTGTTTTTCAAACCGGTCAACCTCCAAACAGTCCCGATTATGTATCGGGCTCAACGGGAAGATATTCTTTCTCGAAGAGGTGTCGAAGGGATTTTACAACTTCTTACACTTTCGGTTGCAATCGGTTTTATTTTAACCGAATTGTTTTACATCAAAGAGAATGCGAACGTGGTCCCGTTTGTTTCACTCGTTATGTTATCGGTCCAAGCGGTTGGATATGGGATTCCCTTAGTTACGGGGGCCGAAGCGCTTTTTAAAAAAACCGAATCTTACGAAAAGTCTTCGGTTCTTGAAAAAAGTCAAATGGTTCGGGTCATCGATTACACGGTCAAGATTCTTGTATTGGTTTCATTCTCGCTAACATTGCGGCTTTACCAGAAAGTTTGGAGGGCCCGGATCCGGTTACAGACGCGGGCCCCACATGAACCGGCCCGTGTGCCGTCTGATCGACGGGTTCTTATAGTTACCGGGCTGGTTCATGTGCTCGGGTTTGTATGTGTGCTTGTGGTTCATAACCTACAACAATGGCTTGCTGAACTTGAGGAGTATGTGGGTTTGGTTCAAGATTTCTTTTTGCTTCCACAAGTTATTGGTAACTTAATTTGGCAAATTGATTGCAAACCGTTACGAAAATCGTATTTTATCGGGTTAACTGTGATTCGACTTCTTCCTCATGTTTATGATTACATTCGAACCCCGATCCCGAACCCGTATTTTTCTGAGGATTATGAGTTTGTGAATCCGCATCTTGATTTTTATTCAAAGTTCGGGGATATCGGGATTCCTGTAATTGCAATTCTTCTTGCTGTTTTAGTATATGTTCAACAGAAGTTTAGTTATGAGAGGCTTGTGGAGGTTCTTGATTTTGGAAAGTTTAGGGTTTTGCCAAGGCGGACGGTGGGGTATGAGCGGTTGTCGCCGGTGGTGGCGGAGGCTGAGATGACTTCCTGTGGCAATGGAGATGTGGGAACGAGGAAGGAGGTTGAGGTGGAATGAACAGGATGATGTGTAGGTGTGGTTTTCATGTATTTTTGGGTCATGTCGTATTGTAGATGTTGTGAGGTTTGTGTAAACTTGCCGATTTTTACATGTAGTTTTATTGCTATGTGAATTTGAAATGTTGAAGATACAGGAGACCGAAAACAAGATTTAAAAATGTTGATTAATAACACATGAGCGATTTTGTATGAAATGAAGCGTGGGAAAGAGTGCGGCAAAAGCAATTAGTAGCTTTTAAAACTATAAAATTAGATAAAAACCTAAAATATCATAAAACTAAATGTTCATAAAAACTATTTGATAAAAGAAATATCTTTTAGATAAGAAAATAAAAGTTTATCTAAAAGTAAAAGTAAAAGTTAATACTTAATAGTTTCATACTATAAAACAAAACTTTATCTTCTTCTTTTTTTCTTAAAAAATATTTGCTTTTTTGATCATAAAAGTCTAATACTCGTCCTCTTTAGCATTAAGTTTTAATCGTGCTGATTAATTATTTATCTTTCAATTTTATCATGTTTTAGCCATTAAAACATAGTATAACATGTTCAACATATTACCATACCATTTTCATCCATACATGCTACGTACATCCATACAATTTTATCATTTACCATTTACCATTTACATCCATCTTTCCATTTACATCCAGTTAGCATTAAGTTTTAATCATGCTGATTAATTATTTTATCTTTCAATTTTATCTTGTTTTAGCCATTAAAACATAGTATAACATGTTCAACATATTATCATCTTTCCATTTACATCCATACATGCTACGTACCATTTACATGGAATTTAAAAATATTTTTCTCTAAAATTAATTTTATCTACAAATTATGAAACTAAAAGACAAAAAAATATAATTTATGCTTTTCCTGTAGCATTTACATGGAATTTAAAAATACTTTTCTCTAAAATTAGTTTTATTGGACAAATTATGAAACTAAAAGACAAAAAATATAATTTATTCTTTTCCTGTAGCATTTACATGGCATTTAAAATTATTTTTCTCTAAAATTATTTATATTGGATAAATTATGAAACTAAGACAAAATATAATTTATTCTTTTCCTCCCACTTCTCCTTCATTGTTTTTTCTTTCTTAAATAGTAAAACCTTTTCCTCTCTCTCCATCAAGCTTTTCATCATGGCAAAGTTTCTCCTTTCCTGCTTAGTAAAGGTGGCAAAAATTAACACGATACGAAACCCGACACGAAATAAACGGGTTTGGGTAAGATATTTCAACCCGTTTAAATAAACGGGTTGACACGACACGACATGAAAATTAAATGGGTAAGGTTAGGGTTGAGAATTTCAACTCGAAAATGACCCGTTTATTTATATGCAAGTATTTTGAATTATTTAAATAAACTAGAGAGATACAAAATCAAACCATAAGTAAAAGAAAGCCTTCGAATTAAATTGTTTTGTAATGTTGAAACGATTTAGTCATCTAGATCAAGACTTCAATTCAATTTTGCATTCTCTCCTAAACTACCCAGCCTCTTTCACCACTCTCGCATCCTCATGACATTTGTCATCCGCCTCCCCAACTCCCACTCTTTTAATTTTGTCATCTGAACTTGTTATGACTTCATCTATTCTGCCTCCAAAGTATTAGCTTTTCCTTTCTGACTACCTAACTCCTACTCTTTCAACATGCTCAAACTTTTAACCTCACATGACACGACATATTTCGAGCTATACCCCTAACCCGAAACCCGACACGAACTCGACACGAAAATAGACACGACACGACACGTTAATTAAATGGGTCGGGTTAGGATCAAGCACTTTCAACCCGTTTAATTTTTCGACACGACACGAACCCAACATGACACGACACGATTGCCACCTCTATTGCTTAGTACTGTTGAACACTATAGTTTTTATTTTCCTTTTAAGAAATATATAAATGGTCTCTCAAGTATTTAGGCACTAATATATATATATATATATATATATATATATATATATATATATATATATATATATATATATATATATATTCATATGGATGCCACATCAGCGCTATATGGACAAAGGTGATCAGAATTAACTGCCATGTACAACAATAACCGGTAAACTTGTTACAATATGTCTCGATGACTAAATAAATGATAAAGTTAAAATTTAAAAATTTAGAGTAAATTACACGAATGATCCCTATGGTTTGGAGTAATTTACACGTTTGGTCTCTATTTTTTTTTTTTTAACTCGGAAGGTTCCTACTATTTGCTTTTGTTATGTGTTTGGTTCCTACTGTTTGTTTTTGTTACGTATTTGGTCTCTGTCTTACCTAAAAAAACTATTATTTAAATAGGAAAAATTGACAGGGTAGGTAAGGTAAGGTGATGAGAGTGAGGTTGGGGGTGTGTTTATGTAAATAAATTAAAATAACGCGTAACAAAACAAACAATAGGGACCTTCCGAGTTAAAAAAATAAGTTAAAGATCAAACGCGCAAATTATAGTAAACCATAGGGATTATTCGTGTAATTTACTCAAAATTTTAATAATTAATTAAACAAGATTAGTACTTCGATGCTAAATAGGGACAATATCTAAAGTCGATACTCATTTTCTTAAAAGCTTAAAACTATGGAAATCTCTCAAAAACTAACTGCTTTAGTTTTCTTTATGGTGATAACAAAAACCTACGACTATTTGACCCATTGTTAGGGTAAAACTATATTATGTGGTTTCTTATGGTCAATTTTATACGTATTTCAATTGCTTCGTGTATCTCATGGATGAATAGTTGAGTGTGTGTATACAATATACCCCTAATAATTTGATAATTTATGTGAATAAAAAGATATATATATATATATATATATATATATATATATATATATATATATATATATATATATATATATATATATATATATATATATATATATATAACACCCTTTCTTATTCATACTTTCAAACATTTTCTTATTTTGTTTATTCGATTTCTAATGTAAACCGTGTTAAATTAAAAGACTTATTCAATCATATTTTATCTCAGATATAAAATTTCAATACTTTAGAATTTTAATGTACTTTTCAATTATAAATTAGCATTTTACTCGATGTGTGTTGCGGCGACGTCAATCCGTTTTGTAACCTGAATGATGGTTATATTGATAAAATGTATGTATATTTGCATTTGTTTGGTAGATAAATATACAAGGTTGGTACCACCGACTAACTTCAATATATACCATCAAATAAAAACGTATTTTATGTGACAAAAATCATACGTACGAAACGTACATAAAAATAAGCATGAAAACATAAAGAAACTAGAACTTATACCGACATGTACATAAAAATAAATAAGTAAGATTTTTTTTTTAAGTTAACGAACAAACATTCAAATAATCAAAAACGTATTATATATAACCTGACTTATACGTAGGAAACACACATAAAAATAAGCATGAAAACGTCAAAAAATACATTAAAATGTAGAAAAATCGAATTTATACCGGCATGTACATAAAAAAGTAAGTACTTTTTTTTTTATAAAAAACATATTATACGTGACCCGACTTATACGTAGGAAACACACATAAAAATAAGCATGAAAACATCAAAAAATACATTGAAATGTAGACAAAAACGAATTTATACCGACATGTACACAAAAAAGTAAGTAAATTCTTTTTTATAACTTAACGAACAAAAGTTCTACATGTACATCGAAACGTTAACCACATCGAATTTACACCGACACATATATAAAAATAAGCACGTAAATTTTTTTTTCCTTTTATAACGAACGAAAGTTATTAAAGAAAATCATATTCTGTATACTAAGGGAGATAAGTAGGAAAGTTTACAAAATAGAGGGGGTGGAAGTGATACTTTAAAAAGTTCAAAGTAAAGGAGGTCAAAGTGACATTTTAAAGAGTAAAGGGGTGAAAAATGTTACTTTACAAAGTTTTTTTTAAAAAAGTAGAGGGGTAGAAAACATCATAACCTTATAAATATGTTTTGTAAATTAAAACTGAATTTTGACGATAGTATTGATAAAAATTATGTATTGTTGCATTTGTTAGTAGGTAAATATACAAGGTCAATACCACTGACTAACTGTAACACCTATCTTCAAGTATTGATATTTTGGCTTCAAATTAATTAAGTTGTGATTTTGATTGGCCATGACGCGGTGTTGGAGACACACCGCGACACAACCACATCATTTAAATGATGACACAGTTATAGCCTAGCTGCAACGCGGTCGGCCTGTTGGGCTAAAACCCTAAAAGCCTAAGGATTTCGATCTATTTAAGGCACACTTCCCTAGGGTTTCGGCTAATTCATCAGCCTCTACCCTATAGAACAATCCCCTCATAACTCCAACCTTTATTTTGATCTTATGTGTGTTTTGTGCTCTTTTTTGTGAAAAATCCAAAAAGAAGAAGAAGAAGTTTAAAGCAAGGTGTTGGTGTGAGATTCCTTGGTGTTCCAGCAAAACAACCATCTTATGGACCTCTTGTGAGTTTAAGGTTCTCACCTTTATGCATTTTCATTCTTATATCTAGATGTTGGATGGTTTGCGGGTCATTTCTAGTCCCTTGTTCATGTATCCTTGGAGTTTGGGAAACTCCAGGACCTTGTAGCTACATTTTGTTGCTTCTGGACCTTATCCTTGGTAGAAATAAGCTTGCATGTGTTCTTGGTTAAGCCACGCACTTAGCTTTAGCTCTCCGATGGATTCTAAGACTTAGGGTTTGAGTTTCTGGTTGATTCAACCATTAGGAGGTGTAAAGTTGGAAACTTTATCCATTAAGATTTTTAGGAGTTTCAGATATGAGATTTGGAACAAATGTCTTAAGGGGATAAGTCCTTAATAAGGTTTGGTTCTTTTGTTGATTCTATGACGCATTGAAAAGCAAGTCGCGACGTGGTTCGCAAGGCTTATCCGTGACTGTTTTGTCGCCTAGTGAGCATGGTGCAACCATGACGCGAGGGGGTGGGGGTGAACATTGACTTTTGACC